TGCACTCTAAAAAAATCGACCGCATAAGTATTATCGATTTTCCAATTAGTTTTGGATGCCTTTTTATATGCAAATATGCTTGATAGAAAAAAGGCATGAGGAAAGCGTATCTTATGGCTCTATATTTTTTCCTAATTATGAGATGATTAAGAATGTGAAGTATCTATGCATGAAGTATTTTACCTTGCCACTGCTGCTTATAAAGTATGCAACGTGGTCTACAGCTGATACAACAATTGATAAGCGCAATATGATGCGTTCCTCATAGTATAGGGAAAGGTGTGATATTCTGTAGACAGAAATTTTATATCCCTTAGGTTGGAAGACCTAATTAAAAGGGGAACCGGCAGGTCGCGTTCAAAGTTCGTTTTGGTTTAAGTCGAAATATACCCTTTCTTAAAGGATGCAGTTTAGCAGAACACGGCATTTTCCACAAAATAAGCACAATAAAGGACACTCTCTTGTCTATTTTCTATCAAACATACATGACTTTATAAGGTTATCGAATCAGTGAGAGACATTCATGCAACAGAAGAAGTCTTTTTTATACGAACAGTAGTACCTAAAAGTCGCCGAGAAGAAGCTCGACCAATAAACGGCATCCGAACGGGGCTGATGTATGCTGGAATTGGGCTTCACAATGGTAAATTTGACACCGCTTCTGTAGTAGTATTTGTGAAGTAAAAGCACATTTTAGAATTTATGTTAGCACTTCGTCTAGCATAATAACAGCTTTGTTGGGGAAACATGAACAGAAATGTAGAATTTTGTTTGGCATTTTTATGTACGGCTCCGGTTTTGAACATCTGGAACCTAGTGTCGAGTTATGAGTGAACAGAAGGTAGTTGCTTTCCAATAAAGTCGGTCACTAAATTCAAACATTGGACTACCACACGCACGATAAGTGTAAAATGCGTAAAATTGTTTATGGTTCGCAAATCTCAATTTCTTTCTTTTTTCGCTAAATTTACACAATGTCTCCAATGAGCTTGTTGGGTTCGCGTCAGTCTTGTTGGCTACTGTACGATCCAAAGAGACTCCCCCAAGCCCTGATTCAGTTGGGAATGTTAGGAAAAGTGCAGACAATTACAAACGCCTTTTAGGGGGTCATGGAGTATATGGATCCGTTGACGTTCTCAAATTTGAAAACATAGGTGAAGCTCAGTATGTCTTTAGTTCCGTTTTACAAATAATAACGGATAATAACGGAAAATAACTAATAATAATATTTGACCGAAGTGTAAAAAACTCGGCGGCTTCGGGGGGCGGGGACTTTAGAACCATCGCCAGCAAGGATTTGGTACAGCCAACTTTCTAGCTAACTCACTTACCAACCCCGCCCCCCTCCCTCAAGGGGAGCCTTGAGCGTAATCACATTTGGGGGCCTCGTAGCTCAGTTAGCTAGAGCACTGGCTGTACTAAAGCCTTAACCCTTTTCGCGAGGGCTCCAAGCCTACCGAGGCTGGTAGAGTTCAAAGTTATTGGGCAAGTAAGAAAATTTTTATAAACCCAAAGATACAATTTCCTTGAGTATGAAACTTGAAGAAGAGTAACTTGATTACCAAATGAGTGCAATAATAAGTATTTCTGTATTTTTTTTCTACGACATATCTTTGAGTTTATAAGGGCAGTGAAAATCAATGAGAAAAATGCGTACTATTTAAATAACTATTTTTTTTACAGAATATACTTTTACATGCGGTCAGAAAGAGGGTCGTTCAAAAGCCGACATCCTGTAGTGATTGAAATATTTTGGGCTTATACTGCGAGATAAGCAGTATTAAAACCGTAATAAAGTAGTTTTTTCGAATCGGTAGACGTTTCATGAGATAGAGCGTCTCTGTATGTAAAGCTTCTTGAACTACCTGGAAGATAGTGTGCTACTTTACGAATAACTGATTTGCCTGTGATGAATGTTTGACTTGAAATCAAGCCTTTTCAGCGGGTTGACCGTGTACTACTCATATTCCACTCACACGTAAGCAGTGGATGCTAAATACTGCTTGATTTACTATTTGCACAGTACTAGTAGCAGCCAAAATGTCGGGCACACGTCTTATCAATTTTGTGCAGCCGCAAGTTGTTTGATTCAACAGTTTGAAATTTATAGGGCTTAACATTAGAACCCGGAGAATATACCAGGATGCCTCCCCCTTCCCATCTGGAACTTAGTGATATATCATCCTGTGAATTCGTAGCGCAACTCAGATTTTCTAAATACTACTTCTACTAGTGCCTTATGCGTTCGAGTGAATAGTATCTGTTCAGAACCACAGAAAGCTTGATCAGAACATCACTGTACGGGCTATTTTGAATAAGCAACTCATAAGGAGGACTGATTAACCGCGCGAAACATAACTTAATGCTGACAGTCTATTATATTTAATGCAGTGGCCTTGTTTAATGTATATCACATCTTACTGATTTCTTAATAGTAAGCATGTTTTGTTTTACCATATATAACTCGGTCTGACCAATAAGAAGATTAGTATTGGCTGACGTACCGGTCAGGTAAGCCGTTGCAGAACTTGCCGAGTCGGTGACCATTGTCTCCAAGTCGTAGGTACGACACATGGTACTGAAGGGCCAACTTTCGAATATTAGCTTGCTTGCCCGGCCAGCCTCCCGGGCTTTAAAGGCCTTGTAGAACCTGGCTGCCGCAATGCTCTGCAGACCCATGCCATCGCCGAGGAAAAAAATCACGTTTCGTGGTCGCCGGGTGGACATTTGCGCGGAAAAGAGACGAGCCGTCTCCTCAAAATTTCTTCTCGCCTTGGCCTCCCAGTAGGCCGGTTCCATCTCCCAGGGCAGCACTGGTTTTCCCACGTTGTCATTTCTATTCACGCAAACCGCGAAGAAGACGCCAAGGACCACGACGCTGACAGGCGGTAGCATGCCCGCGTGAGATTAGCAATCGATTAGAAGCGCGTGTGTCAGGAGTGTTTTCAAACATCACGTGGGAATAGTTGTCGCCCATAAGAAGCACCTTTGAATGACATGCTAGGAATGCACGCATGTGCGTCCAAGGGTCAAGCTAGTTCCAGAATTTAGGCGTACGCGGGGAGGGTGTTTGCAGTGCTGCACCAGCGTAGATTCAAAAGCGTCGGATTGGCTATTGGGATGAATATGCGTTGCGTGCTGTGGGGACGTCGTCTCAAGTGCCGGCCTAAGTCTCTCTGTATTCGCCTTAACAAAAGCTACTGTGCGAGCTGATCAGCCATTTAATGCACGGCGTGGGTGCAGGAAGCTGGCGCGGCTTGAGTTCGTACCTAAACGTGTCATCATACTCCCAGGTGTGGTATTTATTATGGGTGCAGTGTCCGAATAAAGCACATCGTGCCCCTAGCGCACTCAAAGC